TTGGGGACTGGCTCCCGTGGGGACAACAGGGAAAGGGACAAGGCGACGCTGGTAAAACGCTTGGACCCAAAGTCAAGATATGCCCAACAGTCCTGAGATGGGCTCCTGCACCTTATGTTTGGGAAAACCAGCAACACTCCCACCCTCAGCAGCCAAATCCCCCTGTCCTGCCCAGCCGGGGGCAACTCCGTGGGGCCAGCCCTAAATTTGAGCCCCCAAACACTGCTCTCCATGCTGGGATGCCTGCCCTACCCCTCGTCCCTGCTCCTGGTGCCTGGCTCTTGCGGCAGAAGCAGGGGCAGATTGAGCCCTGTTTTTCCAGGCAGAAATTAATAAAAACTCACAAGCCCACAGATTTGAGGCAGAAAAGGGAAAAGAATCAACTCTCAAAAGTGCATCCAAACAAACACAGAGACAGGGAGCAGCTGCAGCCTTGCCCCTCTCTGCCCTTCGGGAATGGGGAGGGCTGTGGGTGGCACCCTTGGGTGGCCCCAGGAGTCTCCCTGGGTGGCAGTGCCGGGTATCCCTCGTGACAATCTCGCGGGGTGCTCCTTCCCCTTCCCCCTGCACTTACTGGCTTCAGCTGCAGCCTCAGGCTCATGGTGTGGGGTGCTGGGTGCTGGCAGCAGGGTGCCAGGTGCCGGGTGGTGAGCGAGGGAGCAAGGCAACAGCAGGAGGGAGGAGGAGGAGGAGGAGGGAGGGAGGAGGGAGCAGGGTGCGTGCAGACTGTGGGTGACGGAGGGGGAGGCTCCCACAGCCCTGGCTAACCCAGGCCATTGCTCCTGCCCTTCGGGGCCCAGCAGCCAGAAGTCTTCCTCCTCCGTTGTCCCCTGATGGGGATGGGGAGGGGGCCATGCCAGAGTCACCAGAAGACCCTCAGCAGAAGGGGTGGGGCAGGATCAGGCCCACAACGCTGGGGCCAGGCAGGCACTGACTCAGTGTCTCTCCCGGCACGTATCCTGACACAACTCATCACCCTCAGCCCTGTCCCCAGCACCCTCCTGCCCCACTCCACCTCCACTCATTGCCCATGGGGCAGTTCGGGGGGGACTGGGAGAGGTGCCACCCTCGAGACAGACCCCAGCCTGGTGGCACCAAACCCATGATGCCCCCATGTGCCTCCAGCTGTGCCCCAGAGCCGCAGCCCTGGCCGGCTGAGCCCAGCACATTCATTGCACTTGTGACCTGCCCTCCTTGCCTGCTCACTGCAGGGCCAGGCCACCCCATAAGCCTGTGTCTGCCATGCCCGGCCCACCAGTCGGTATTTTTAGACGCTGTTAGCGGCGTCTCGCCGCTGTCTCTGCCTCATCCGTGAATTATTTAGTGGCCGGGAGTGGAGAGCCGTGGCATGGTGGAGGCATGGGGGATGTCGGGGTGAGGATAGGCAGGACACCTGGGTCCCCTGGGGCCATGGGGAGATGCAGTGGGGGAGGACAGGTCCATCCCATCCCATCCCATCCCATCCCATCCCGAGATTTAAAGTGAAGGGAAGATCGACCCTTGTGGGTACCACATGGGTGCAATGCGGGGCCCTGCATCCACCACGTTTCAGTTCTGATCCTGTCACCCCACAGGCAGCTAATAATCCCACATCGAGTGACCAGCACCACCATGCCAGCATCACCACAGCACGCAGCAGTGGTTCCTGGCGTGCGGGTGACCCCATTGATGGGGACATGAAGGCTGCTCACCATCCCACTGGGGCATTCAGGGGCTGATCCTGGGTCACTGCAGTCACCCCCAGATCAGAGGGACTAAGCGGGTTTTGGGATGAAGGGGACAAGCTTGGGGACAACAAGCCCAAAAACTGCCCCATGCCGTGGGGAGCGGTGAGCCCATCCACCGTGCATGGAGGCTGCGAGGCTAAAGGTTTGTCAGCAACAAGATGGGACAAAAATCCCACAGAGCATCCTGCTCTGACAGAGCAAACTGTCAATCCGGTGGCTTTTCTGGGGTCAGATGGATGCATATGCATTAAATTGTCCCTCAGCTACTGCTGGTAATGGTGGGAGGTGCCCCGAGATGTATTTTGTACATCGTAGCTCTCCTGTGCCTCAGTTTCCCCACTGGTAAGAGCTCCCTACCCGGGACTGTGGGATAAAGCAGCACCTTTCACACACACTGATGTCTGTGTGTCCACCACGGTGACAGTACAGTGTCATGAGTGTCCCTTTTGGTGACAGTACACTGCCACAAGTGTCCCCTGCAGTGACAGGGCACTGCCACACAGGTTGGTGACAGTGCAGTGCCACCTGCTGTCTCCCAGGGGATTGTGTGGCCCTTGGCATGGCTACCCATGATTCCGATGTGGAGCCTCCCCCACAAACAAAGCCACATGCATTCATAAAAATGCCCACGTGTATGTCCCCTTCAAGGCCACCATCACAACATCAGCAGTTTGTGCCAGTGTTCCCCCAGCCACAAATTACCAGAAACTCTGATTTAGAGGCAAAAAAGACCATTTAAACCATTCAGAGGAAGAGATAAAAATCAAACATGAGGATACTAGCATTTCCTGGGATGGAAACTTCTGATATCACTGCCCTCTCTGCTCCTCTCCTCCAAAACCCACAGGAATGGCTGTACCCCAGCAGCAGCAGCACCACCCCACTGCTGCCTGAGTGGCATCACATCGCCCACGTACCTGTGTGACCTTCTCGGTGACATTCTGGGTGCGCTCCATCACCTTGTGCGGAGCAATTATCTCGATCTCTGTGGTGGAGCCTGAGCGGTGCTTTTCCAGGTTGAACTCCACAAAGTTGAGCGTGAACTGGGGGATCTGGCTGATGGTCCGGTACTTCATGAGGTCCGAGTCTGAGGTGGAGTTCGGGGGGTTGGGTTTGACATGGGAAGCCTCTGAAAGAGGATGGAGAGAAACATTGAGAAGGGCAGTGTGAGCAGGAGCCAATCCACAGAGCCCCGACCTCAGTGTAGGACATCCAGGAGCTGGGGACCCCCTCAAGATGCCACCAGAAGGTACCAGTGCCTGCCTGGCCATAAAGGCTTGTCTTCTTCAGGGTGGCTCAGACATGGGGTGCCCAACCCAAGATGCCTGAGAGGGGGCTGCTTTTCAGACACATCACCCATCTTTTCAGCATTAAACCTCCTTCAGGGGGCTCAGACCAGCTGCCAAAATACAGAGGAAGCCAATATCCTTTGCTACCCCTGAAGACTGTGGTGGGCTGGGGACCAGCCCCAGTGAGACCCACCAGGGAGGGATGCCAAAACTGGCATGAAAACAGATGAAGGAGGTGCGTGTCCTTCACCCTGGCATGTTTCAGCCTGACCAACTAGGTTCTGAGCTGATGCCTTGGGTTTTGACCACCAAACTGAGCCAGGAGCTGGATGATGTCCCTGCTTGGATGTATCCTCCACCCCCGGCTCCAGGTAGGGAGGTCAGAGCTTTCTCTTGGAGAAGAGCTATAGTGGGGCTGGATCCCACCTGTTTTCCATGAGGACCTGCCTCTCTGGGTCACACCAGTTCAGGACCAGTGAGGAAGCCTCAGAGGTGGCTGGTTCATGGTCAGGCTTGTGGCAATGTGTAGGCATGGAAGGGAGCATGTACGCACACCCAGGGCTTCAGGAACATCCCCAAACACCAAAACCAGTGTGTCCCAACCTCTCTGTCTCCTACAGGCAGGGCAGGGTTGTACTTCCAGTTTTCTACCCCTTCTATCCCTTGTACTCTGACATCAACCCAAGAGGTGTCACGGGTAGGAGGTGTCTGAAAACATTGTGAAGGTGCCCAGTTAGCACCAGCCATCCTTCTGCCACCCTTCTCCCTGCTCATTCCCCTTCCCTCCCTCTACGCGTGTCCCTTCCTGAGGGTCTGTAACCTGTGGCTATTTGAGTACCATGACCCCCCACCCCATTTTCTCAAGCCAGATACTGCAGACTGATCTCTCTCCACCCACAGACACTGAGGCTTCTCTTGCCTGACCGCCGTGTTATTTGTCATCATCTCTCACGAGAACGAGAGGTCTGGACGTGAACACCGTGGTGGAGGCACGTTTCCCCCAGCCCTGCAGAGTGGCCTGGCTGGTGTCTCGTCCACCTCCAATGCATGGACACAACTCACATTGCACATGCCTGCAGACCCCTTCCCTCCCGCCTGAAGAGGTGGGATGGCATCGGGATGCCCCTCAGGTGGGGAGCCAAATGCAACCTCACGCGGTCTGACATCTCGCACGTATCACCTCGGATGGCTCGACCCAAAGAGCAGGACCTGCCTACGCAGGGAATCACACAGCGACCGTCCGGTTTTGGGGAGAACACCCCAACTTATCTCCAATTTGCAGAGGGAAAAGCAATGCAGGGTAAGAGACCTCCCCCCCGAGATGTGCCGAGGCCATCGCCCAGGACCATGGCTCCCGCAGTAGGACCGACAACTCCGGGGTTTTTCCCCTACCTGAGTTTGCCCTCCTTTCCCTGAATTTTCTCTGGAACTCAGACCTCGCAGCCTCAAAGTTGTCCAAGGAGGAGACCCTGCGGAGGCTGTGGAAGCTGCCCCCAGGGCGAGACCGAAAGAAACCCCAGGCAGAGTACGACCCTCGTGGGCCCAGCAAGGGAGGCTCTTGTTTCGGGGACGAGTGTTGTAGGGTGGGGTCGGCCTCCAGGCTCGGCCTCCGCTCCTTTTCCAGGAGGGATTCGGTCTCTGACTGCACACAGTTCTCCTTGGGCGATGTCTTCAAGTCCCTCAAAATCAGGGAGTCACCACCAGGCTTCAAGACAGCCGGGAGAAAGCGTTTTATTAGAAGGAGTCCTCGCGTGCTAGGGGAAGGAAGGGGAGCTGGGGAAGGTAAGAGGAGGGGCAGAGGGCTGGGAAGCACAGCAGTTCCTGAGGTCACCTCCAGCTGGGACCAGAACCTGCTTTGTGGCGGGGCGACCGAGTCCCTGGGGACTTGGCAGCTCCTACCAGCTCCCACTGGAGGCTGGGTGGCCGCGGGGCGGTTTGCAAGGCGATGCTGCGCAGCTGGGAAGCAGGTCAGAGCAGGAAGTGAGGAGGAGACCCTAGGGATAAGCTTGCCTGGAGCACCTGCTTTGCCGTGCGCTTTTCCCAGGTGTCCCTACATCCCACCACTGGACCTGCCCTTCCCTCACCCACTGCCAGAGCTCAAGCCACCACTGAGGGCCGGTGCCCGGGGTCCTGTGCTGGTGTCTATGGGAGAGGATATGCTCTGCACCAGGAAGCACTGGAGGAGCTGCTGGGCTTGCAAATTTGGCATGCATGGTCCTCCTTCTCCTACAGCAACCCTTAGGCATTGCTAAACCTTTTTCCCTGGAGACCTAAGGAGTTTCCAGCCTTTAATGGCTTTCTGCAATGGGATGCACAAAGCAAAGGCCTTTTCGAGCAGAAACCTGTGGGTCTATGCCCACTGAGGAGCCAGTCATACCCACGGGAGAGACTGTAGCACTTCTCACCATCCCTAAGGACCTTCTTGCAGGTTTTAGGATGGGGTGCCTGGAGGGGCTGGGTGCTGGCTGCCCCTGTATCTGCCGGACTGCCCCCACTTGACCAAGCTTCACCAAAGCGGAGGGTCATGAGGTTGTCCGTGATGCACATCTTCCACGTGTGTACACCTGAAACATCTCAGTGCACCAAACAGCTTCAACCTGGGGGTACCCAGAGCCTTTAGCAGCTCTGGTGCCTGTAGAAGCGATGTACCCAGAGCATCTGATAACGCTACAGATGTCTTCAACTTGCCATAAGCACAACCTCTGAGAAGACAGGCATCTTTCACCTCATCATATCTGTCATTTTTGGAAACAGCTTTATCCAGGCTGGCTGGATAATACCCCGCACAGCAAGAACCTGGCACCGGGGGATGCATTAGCAGAGCAAAGCTTCCTGCCCACAGCCCTGTGCCTCAAGCTGAAGCATTTAAGAAAACGACAAATCTTTGCCCGGAGATACCTTAAGCACTTTTGAGAGTCAGGAAGCTACCAAGAACAGCAGACTCTAAAGAGGACCCACCAACATTTTTCCAGTCTCATCATGTCAGCAATGACAGCATCACCCTCCATCACGGAAAGCCCAGTCTTTGCTGGAGGACTGAGAAGCCAGAGCTGCCTGCGCTGCCTGGCCCTGGCCAGGATAACAGGGGAAAAGGGGCCATCTCGAGGGTTGCCTGCAAGTCCCTGCCAGTCCCTGCTCAGAGCAGACCTGCTTCAGTCTCCCGCAGTCACCAGCACATCCCCTCCTCGGAGTGGGGACAACTCCCTGGACGTCCACCATCCCGGACAACTTGCACTATGGAGCCAGACCTTCCTCCCAACTTCAGCCACAGTGCCCGCCGGCTCAGCATATCTCCTGCTCCCCCTGTGAGCCACGGCATGTGCCACGCCAGGCTGACCCCACGGAGCAGCCTCATCTAGCTCTGTCACATGCCACCAAGCACCGCTGCTCACCACCAGCCCTTGCCGGAACCAGTGCTCAGCGCTGACCCAGCGCTGGAGCCGAGGGGATGCGGAGGGAGCCACAGCAGCTGAGGGGGAACGGGATGGGGAGAGTGGAGGAAGAGTGCTGGGACCTGGCCTGAGGCATGGGCTTATATCAGACAAAGGCTACGGTTACCTTTCCATAGTCAATGGCTACTCCATCAAACTCACTGGTGGGCAGAGATTTCCGCTGGATTTTGAGTCGCCGCAGGGACGGGAGACTAAACTTCAACCTCCTACCTTGACCTTGTTAAAAAGAAAAACAAAACACAAGAGAGACAGATGTAACCTAGCTGCACGTGACAGCTGGAGCAAGACGGGGCGGAGTGGTGGCAGGGGAAGAGGCTACTGAGAATTTTGGGTGGCTCTGGGGAACATAGGTGCCCTGTGGCCCTTCCTCCTCCAACACACTCGCTATTCCTGCACTGTTGCACCTCTGTGTGCTCAAGGCGGACCCCAGCACTGCTGGGCTGGAGGAGAGTTCCCTACAACGAGGGATGCAAGATGGGAAAGGTGCAGAGCATCCCTAAGCCAATTAAAGAGGTTAAAGCCACTTAAAGGATTTGGACCTGGAGGAAATTGAGCCCCTAAAGCTCCTTGGTTGGACTTGGGGCGGGGAGGGGGGGCGGGGAACAGACAAAAGAGACGGTAAGTTGGCAAGGCATTAAAAAAAGTAGTTCTATCAATTTTGTTCCTGGAGTTGTTCTGGATTTTAGGTGAGCGATGCTGGACTGAAGAGGTGGGGGTCCCTTGCTGCCATTTTGGGGGACCAGAGGACCAGCTCGCTGAAGACTGGGACCGAGGCGAGAGCAGCTGGGACTGCAAGGAGCTGTGAAAGAGGTTCAGGAGCAGAAAGGACCAGATGTGGAAGGGAACCGTCAGTGCCCACAGCGGGACCCAGTGCCCCCAGTACTGACAAGTACAAAGTCACTCATCCTCCTCTAGTGCTGGTCCAGCACAACCACCTGCTACTACAGGGTTAGCACGAGCAGCCACTCATGCCCTGCTGCCTCGGGCCCAGGTCAGCACTGAGGTTCATCTGACCCCCAGCAGCACCAGTTGTACTCACTAACTGGACCAAAACCCTCCCCAGGCAAACCCCAGTGCCAAATCCTCGGGAGGGTTGATGAGCCGAGACCCTCATGCAGGAGCTGGGCAGAGAAACCCCATCTGGTGAGAAGGTTTGGATGAGCTCAGCTTCACCCTACATTAAAAATTAAGTGGCCTAAATCCATCATTAGGTGACCCTATGGCTGCCTTTCCCTTCATCTTCTACGAGCAGCAATACCTCCTGATGGCACAGGGAAGGGATCCTGGGGCACACGGGACATGACACAAGCTCCGGAAAGGCATTGTCCTCTGGGAAGAAGCAGAACATTGAGGAGCTGTTTGGTTTTGGCAGCACTGGCCTCCCTCACCTATCCCCAACACACTGCTGAGCCACTCGGGCAGGCTCCCAACCGGCCCAGCTCCCTAAAAATGCCACTACTGGTGGGGGGCACCTGTGCAGGCTCCCCCTGCTCACCCCATCCTTGCCATCCAGAACAGCTTTTCATCTGGAAGAAGCAAAGCAGGCGCCTTCCCCTGCACATCAGTGAGACAGGGACCAGCAACGCAGCCGCCCGCGGCCGTGTAATTAAAGACTGAGTCAGAAAACCCGCACATGGGAGACCAATCTGGGCTGGCGCCGGCAGCTCTGGCCTTTCCACGCTTCCCAGCACTGGAGTGGGAAACCCAAGCAACACCCCTCGGGATGAACAGCACAACCTCCAATAAGCAGGAAAGCAATAGGTGCCCTTTTTATTTGGGTGCCTTTTGCAGCCAAAGGTACATCTTGGGGTGGGCTGGGGTATGGATGCATCATACCGCGAGACGTACTGAGAGCTGAGTGGGCTGCAAAGCAACACTGGGGCTGGAATTTCGGATTTCCTCAGCAGTCTCTGCAGAGAGGCTAACTGGTACCAAAGCAACACACCAGAAATATCAATCTCATCACTTCACAGACATAGGAACAAACGCCCAGGTTATATATACATGCACACACATGTCCCTAAGTCCCGTATGCGTGTGTCTGGCCTGAGGACACGTAAAACCCATCACCACACACAGTATCACCGCTGGTACCCGCTGCCACGCGTGCCAACACCTTAATGTCTCCGGGATGTATATATGCACCGAGAGTGAATGTGTTAAAACTCACATCGCCGTACCAACACAATGGGCAACTTGAAGGGTCCCCGCTGGTCCCCGACGCAGCCCTGGCCCTGCCTCTGGTCCCACTGCGCCACCCCACATGCCATGGGGGGGACAGACCTGGGCTGCTCCCACAGATTTACTTTGAGCCCTGCCCAAAGCCTCCCCATAGCGACCCGCATCCCCAGGGAGTCTTTACATGAAGATAAATGTAGGATTATTTCCCTGCTTAAAATACAAGTGACTGGCACCAAGGAACGTATTACAGGAGGATATTTAGAAGCTACAACTCTTCATCCCAAGGTCAGGTCTAATATCTGCATCGCTGGATATCCACATCCCCTTGAGAGCCTCACCACAGCTTCCCTTTGATCCAGCCTTCCCAAAACAGGGAATTTGAATTTTCCACTGCCTCCAAAAGCCCCACAAAACCCTGGGATGAGCCCGGGACAGCAGGGAACCGCCCAGGGCAGGCTCAGAGCCATCCCAGTGCAACCATCCTTTTGCCATTTGCCTGCGAGGATGTCCCCATAGCACAGCCCTGCTGTCGGTGACCATCAAATACCCCTTGGCCCCCTCCGGTGACCCCACAGTTGGGTCCTGTCCCACACCAGCACCTCCTGCCCTGGCCAGTGTGGTGCTGTAGGCACGCAGGAGGGGCCCAAGGTGCTGCTGGAAAAAACTCCGAGCATTAAATATGGAAAGGACACAGCAAGGCTGGGGGTGCATGGAGGGGCTCAGCAGCACCATTGGCAGTGAGATGCTCTTGCCTTAAAAATGCCCCATCAGGTGGTGAGGGATTGGTCCCCAGCCCTGTTCCCAGGTCCCTGGGTGTTGGGAAGGTGCGTGTGGGCAGGAGTGCCAGCAAGGGGCTGCGTGGGGAGCGCCGCCCCCTTAAAAGCCCTTTTTTCACCCAGTTAGTGTTTGGCCGGATCAGTCACCAAGCTGGCGGAGCTGCAGAAACACAAACCTCTGGTCCTGGGCACTCTGTGGGGGGCTCAGCCCCATGGCGCAGGATCCTACCCTGTCGCAGTTCATCCTTCACCCCCACAAGCTCCCAAGAAAACCATGGGATGGGGATAGCCCCGAGGATGCTGTGCCATCCCACCGTCCCCACCGTCCCCGGTGACACCCACCTCCGCGCCAGCTCTGCGACAGGCGCTGGTGCAGGCTCCGGCTGGCGCTCTTGGCGATGAGCTGTGCCAGGTCCTCGAAGTTGAGGATGAACATGATGACGACGCCGTCCTCGTTCTTCACTGGCACCACGTCCACCAGGCAGCGGAAACACGAGGCTGCCGAGCAGAGACAGGCTCAGGGAGGGGACTCTGCCCACCCACCCCCCCAGCACAAAAGCTTTGGCATAGAAGTATTTTTTTAAGCACATTGACGGGTGCAATCCTGCTGGCAGGGGCTGGAGGATTTGGAAGCTGATCTGAAGGGCCACATCTCTGCAGCATCCCAGCTCACACAGATCCCATCTTCCCTTTTTTTCTGTCCCAGACAGTCATTTATATTGATGTACTTTAGAGCAGCAATTAAAGAGTAGGTAATTAAGAACTCAGCAATCCCAGGTAGTGGTTTAACCTCATTAAGCATGCTGCTTGTAATCATGCCATAGCTAATTGCCCTGCAATTGCCACACAGTTTTGGGGACTGATTCAGCCGTTTCGTGTCCTGGATGTGGGCGATGGGGATGTGCCCGACTGTGTGCCCCATCCCGACCCCTAGCAGCAGGATGTGGTGGGATTGGTGTGGTGGTCCCCTAAAGGCACTGGGAGGGAGCAGTCAGGCACAGCCTCAACTTGCTCCTGTCATGGGGAAACTGAGGCACGGGGAGCACAAGGACTGGCTCAGGGTCCTGGGAGTGAGGGGGGCTGCGGGGAGGACCCCAAACATGGCTACAGAGCCTGAAGCCATATGGATTTGTCTGGTGGCTGCCAGCTCACCTCCATGGCTCTCCTTGTGCTGGCAGCCAGGCACCTGTTTGCAATGAGGGGCACACAAAAATACCTGCAGGCCTTTCCCAAAGCAGCAAGTGGAGGATACGGGGAGGGGTATCTTACTCCCCTTGCCTGATCATTCCCCAAAATTCTTTCTAAAACCATTCCCAAAGGTATAATCACTGTGGGTCCCTTCCTTCAGCTGTCTCCTGTTGCTTTGGCACCAGTGAGAGCGGGAGCCCATGAGGCGCAGTCACATCCCCGTCGCCAAAACCCCTTGGAACCCTGCTGGGCTCCTACCCCAAAACCTCCTAGAAAGGATGGAGTAACCGGGTACCACTGACCGGCCGGTACAGAGAAAGCAACCTCCTTCCACCACAGTTTTTTCTGTGTGTGGATCCCTGATCTCACCCTTCCCTGTGCTCTGATAACCAGGGATTAGCGGATCCAGCAGGGATGTGCTGCCAGCCCGATCCGGTGACTCCCGCTCTCGCCATGGCCGGGCTCCGGCTGGGAGGGGGATGTCGGCCTTTCTGCGTATAATTTTAAGGAGCTCAGGGCCTCCCGTAATCAGGAGCAGATGGCCAGCATCGGGAAACTTCAAAATCTGCCCTGACGTCAGGGATGTGCACACACACACACAGACACACACACACGCACAAGAACGGGAAAGAAATGGATACGGTGAAATCCGTTTAAAGGACCCGGCAGCTGGGATTATTTCTTTCTTTCTTTATTTCATCGTTGTTCACCACAGGGAGAGGAAATCCACTTAAACGCGTGAGCTGGGGGAGGAGGCGGGGGGATTTTCAGCAGATAAAGCGGTTTCGAAGGGACGCACGGGCACGCTGTGGGCTACCCGCGTGCGGAGTCAGAGGGAACGATAAGAAATGAGCCCCTTTTCCCTCCCTTTGTCAGGATTTTTAGGGATCTAAAAGGTGAGGGGTGGCCTTTAGGTGATGCTGAGTGAGTGAGGTGTCCTGTGTGATGTTAAGGTGGCACATTCCCAGCAGGATGATCCAGTGTCATCCCTGGGATGCTGCAGCTCTGTCGGGGCAGTGCTGGTGTTGGAATGTGCAGGGGGTGTGCACGTGTGTGCCCACTCGCCTGGGTGTCTGATGCCAAGTGGCCCTCAGCACTTTCTTCTTTGGTGTGTTATAAAATGAGGGTTCCGCCCCGCCCTCCCCCCCCACTTCCCGGCAGGTGATTTTAAAGCATCGCCGACTTCCCAAGGACCCACAGCCCAGTGGGGTTCATGGCCATGGGCAGCCATCAGCTCCATGCTTCCCCCCTAGAACCCTGACCCAGACAGCCTGAGCCTGGCTCACACGCTCTGCCCTGCTGCATCCCTTCACTTTTCTCTCCTAGGCTGCTCCGCAGAGGTGGGAGGGGATGGCCTCTGAGCTGTTCTCCCCATGGAGGCTGAATCCTGGCGGGGCCTGTGGCATGGAAAGGGTTAATCCCAGGCCAGTGCTGAACAGCTGAAAACTGGGCCCAGTTACATCCAGTTGGAGGGATATAAGGAGCAGCTGGGAGAAGGCTGGGAGGCAGCTGGTGCCTGGTTTGATCCTACAAATCTGGGAGGTGCTGATCCTGAGCAGCCCCAGGGGAATCACCCCAAAAGCGGCTCCCCCCCTGCCCCGGCACAGCCCTGTGTGCCAGGAGCTCAGTGTCTGGCTCAGACCATGCCCCACTGCATGGATGGTGTCAGGGGGGTGATGGAACATAGAGCATGGAGTTGGGGTGGGAGCAGTGGATTCCCTTAAGCCTGGCCCAAAGGCAGGGCAGTCCCACAGGGTTTGGGGTCTCTGGGCAGCTGTGATTTGGGGTACCCCTGTCTCTGTATAGAGGCTGCAGCTGGAGACCCCACCACCCTCTGCCCTGACTCGGTTTCCTTATGGCAAGCCAGGCTGGGCTCTGCTAAATGCTGAGCCTCCCCATCCTTCCCCCCAAAACCTGGGCTCCCCAGACCTGCTGCGGTGCCGGTGGGCTGAACCGGCCCCGGGAGGGACCCCAGCCCTGTGTTCTTGTCCTCATTCCTCGATCAACTGTCCCCATCCATCTGCCTGTCTCTTCCCTTCAGCTGTTCAGCTAATCTGTCTCCATCCATCTAATTTTATCCAGCCGCCAAATGATCTCTTGGAGGAGCCCCGGGGGCATTCACAACCTGTCTGAGCTCTGTAGACACACCGTGGGGCTGCCTAGGGTCCTGTCCGGAGCAAAACCCAACCCAGGGGCTGTGGAAAAGGCTGGGCAGGAGGGATACAACATGGATGCTGTTTTGGAAGGTCCCACAGCCAAGCGATGGGTTTGCATGGGCTGGGCAAAACAGCTCATTCCCTAAAACCCTGGGTTGGGCTTGATCTTCCCAGCACCCAGCCCACCTCCCCCAAGCCGAGTGCTCCGAGGTTTGTGCTTTCTGACCCATCTTGTCTTCTGACCTTGATAAAAGCGAGCACTTAATAACATTAAAAATGTCATCGTTGGGGGCCCTCCCTCCCTCCTCTTATCCTCCGCGGCCGCCAGTGGTTAATGCATTTGTCGGTATCATCAGTATTAAACTAATCAACAGGACACGGGGGTTTCCAAGAGCCGGACACAAACCAGTATTGTTATGAATATTATAAAAGCAAGCTATTAATCTGCCCTCGGAGCTCTTACCGAGTCCTTCCCTCCCCCTCGTCAGGAGATTTAATCTGCAGGGTCTCATGGCAGAGTGGCTAAATCTATAGTGGTATTATATAAGGGAGCAGAGGAGAGGGGCTGGGAAGGGCACAGAGGGGACAGGATGGGGACGGAGCTGTGCTCCAGGGCTGGCTGGCATGCCCAGGGAGATGCTCAGGAGGGCTGAGCCTTGCTCCAGTCCAGGGATAAATCAACGTCAGGGCTGGGGAGAAACTTCAAAGGGAAGCGTGGATTGCTGGGAGGCCCTACAGCAAATCCTGGAGGTTGGGATGGAAAATGATGGAGGTGAGGGCTAAGCCCATGGGAGATGGGTCACCTCTGGAGTCTGGGGGGTGGATAAGTGCTGGGGAGACCCTGCACCTGGGTCTGCATCCCCCTGCGCTGGGAGGGGATGTGCATCATGGGGTCTGCACCAGCCTCTCTCCCCTCACCCAAACAGGGCGCTGGGGGCTGAAACCCGCTGCGACACCAGAGCAGCAAAAATGCTCCTTGTGGCAATGCCCGAACCACTAAAATGACCTTATTAAGTAACGGCGGTGGGACGGAGGTTACCCCTGCACCGTGATGAACAGCAGGATTTCTGTGCTTAGCCAGGAGCTCATCAGTCAGAAGAAGCAGCGGAGAGGGAAAACCAGGAGCGTCAGGCAGCTGAGAGTACTCACTGGCAGTGTGGGGCAGGAAGGATGCCCCCAAGCCTGGCGGGATGTTTTGGGGTGGAGATGGGAAGATGCTACAATCCCCAGGAGCCAAAAGGGGTCCCGGATCAATACAGGGGGTTGGCAAAATGCAGTTTAACCTCTGCTGCGAGCGAAGCAAGTGGCCGCATCCAGGCCCATAGTCCTTCCCTTGCTAAATCCCCACTGGCCACAGGAATTAGTCCATCTTAGCACGGGGCTGTGTGGCCAAAGCTGCAGTGCTGACTGTTTCCCAGGGTTGTCCGGCCATTCTGAGGGCCTTGTCCCCATGGCACATGGGGCCACCTCCCATTGGGGATCCACCAGCTGGTGAAGATGAGGATGGAGAGGTTGGGATGGGAACTGGGGGCTCTGCTGGGGCAGGGATTTCAGGAAAAAAACTCTTGGGAAGCATCTATGGGAGTGCTGGGGATGCTCTGGGCCTGTCCCTCTGTTCATGGGACATCTGGTCAAAGCACAAAACAACCGAGGAGCAGCAGAGGATGGAAAACCTGTCTCCTCCAGCTTTGTGCCCCAGTTGTCTTGTTCCCGTGGCAGAGCTGGGGCAACGGGAGTGGCTGGAGCTGCGGCACAGCTGTGCTGGGGCCCCACAGTGTGGGAGCTCCAGGACCAGAGCGTTTGTCATTGCGAGGGATGTTTATAAGTCCCCGTCTGGAGTCGGGCCATGGTGTCTGTCCCCTTCCCGAGGTCACAGCCCAGCTCTGCTGAGCCCGACCCGTAAAGGAACGCAAAGCAAATGGCCCTAGCTTGTCTTAAAACCCACGTTTTTGTAAAAGCAAAGAGCTCAAGTTGGGGTTGCGGTTTTGTCAGCTGGCCGTGTCTCCCTGCTCCTCTGCCACCCGGGAGGTCCCCCCTGTCCGGCCTTGTACACCCATGGGACAGTGGCAGAGGATCCCAGGGGTCACTGGCACCAGCCCTGCAACCCCGATGGTGCCAGGATCTGGCAGCTCCCGGCAGGATTTGCCCTCCTGCTTCCAGGAAGCCGGCTGGGCACGTTGCATGTTGCTGTTTATGAAGCTGTACGGAGAAACCTTGGCTGGATCCGACCCTGTCTGCCTTAGCCAGGGCTTCCTGGCAGCAGCTGCTGGAGAGGTGACTGCTGTGCCATGAATGTGCCTGAGCACAGAGGGGACATGTCACATGAGTCCCCCTGTGCCCTTTGGGCGTGGTGTCACCCCACAACCCGTGCCTGCCTGGCCACCAGCCCCGCAGGCAGCTGCCTGCTCAGGCACCCCATGGGGAGGTGTGGAGGGGACATCCTGGGTGACACTGGTGACACGCTCTGTGACATCCCCCTCCTCCCAGAGCCCCAGGGGGAAATCCTGGTTTACAGCACCAGTGTAATGAGTTTGCCAGGCTGATCCCTAATCCCTGGTCCCAGGGAACTGGCACCAACTGCTGCTGCTGGAGGGGACCAGCCGTGGGCTCTGCCCCAGGAGACAGAGGGGCTGGGGCTGCAGGCGGTGGCTGCCCCACCAGCTGCTCCGGCTGTCTGGGCCAGCATCTCTCCTTTCATATTCATAAGCATCACATTTCATGCCGATTAAGCGGGAGCGGGTGCTGCCAGCTGCTGCTGCTTGGGCCATGCCAGCACCGCAGCACCCAGCACCTGCAGCCACCGGCCCTGCTCCAGGCACCCTGGGAGCTCGCACTGGTGGCTTCATCACCCTCGGTGGGGAAAAAACCCAACCCTGGATGCAGCTCATTCCCGTCAGCTTTCCGGTGCCTCCCCAGGGGATGCTGAAGAGGGCTTGGCTCACCCCTGCACAATGGGGCAGGAGCTGATCCCATAATGAGCCCCCAGTTGGGGCAGCCCCAGCTGAGCAGCATCTTGTAAGGAAATGAACTTTTCACTGATCTCCTGGCTTTGAGTGGGGGATTAGAGCCCACACACCCCCACGGCTGGGGTCTCCCCTCTTTCTGAGGCCTTTCTGGGGCTGCTGTGGCAGGGAGGGACAACTGCCCTTCCTGGGCCAGTCTCATCTTCCCCCACCGGGACTTGGTTCTTGGCTCCGTTTCGGCTGCTCGAGCTGTGCTTGTGTCGGCACCCATCAGCTCCTTTTATAATTAGCTAACGACAGCATGGGCATCCGGGTGAGGACTGAGCAGTGAGGCTGTCCCCAGGGACATGCATCACCCTGTCATACCGCATCCTGCCTGTGCATGGGCAGAACTACCTGCCCAGACACCCATGGGTGCCCCCCTCCCCACCTCCCTCCATCCATCCCAACCTCGCCCTGCCAGAGTTGGGGGGGGTGTGGGGTGGACTCTGACAGGCAGATTTGGGTAAAATATTGTCTCTGGCAACCAGAAAAGTGAGGAAACAACCCCGCGAGCTGCAGAGCCGGGAGTACCGCAGTAATAAACAGCAGGTTGAGGCTGGAGATTGGTGCCGCCGGTATGAAAAGGAGGACAGGCGGGTTCGGAGCCTCCGCTGGCTAATTAAGCAGCAGCTCCCTATAATGCAAAGGCCTTTTCTTTGCCGATAAGACCCATTTATAATGGGCTGAGCGGTCGCAGGCTGAGTGCTGGGGGGAAACAATTGGAAAGCATATTGCTGGTGGGGCTGGGTTTTAAAAATAGACATGAAGGGCTTGCTTCTGGGCGCTTTTTTTCCCCTTTTTTTTTTTTAATAAAAAAGAGAAGAAAGCAGCTCAGAGCTGCGTGGAGAGTTTCCCGTGGCCTAGAGGAAAAGCAGGGCTCCGAGGAGAGCACCTAGCATCCCTCAAGCCCGCCGGGAACACTTCAAAGCAGGGAGGATGCCACTGGATCAGGCTCCCAGCCGAGCGGTCTCCAGGGATGGACATGGAGAAGCTGTCCCAAGGCAGGGGAACGGGGCTGCACATGCTGTCCCTGCCATGGCCATGCCTTGGTGTTGGGATGGAAGCAGGGGGACAGCACGTACCCGCTTCTCCTCATGCCTCCCGGGCTGCGCTGGGCACCAGCCAGCCCCCTGTGAACCGCAGTGACCGAGGGGGCACTCACAGCCCAGCCCCAGCCCCACCTCCCCCAGGACCAGCCCCGTGGGGAAGAACCTCAACTGGGTCCTTGGGGAAAGACGGGAGGAAAATCTTATGGGAAACATGTCTGGTGAGAGGCCTGATCCTGCCACCGCACAGGGTCTGGCCCCGACGGCTTAACCGTGCAGGTTAACACACAGGGATGCTGCCAGTGGATAATTCCCGGGGCCGATATGCTGGCACCTGGATGCCAGCCCGGGAGATAGGGTCTGGGAGGGAGGCCAGGACACTCGGGTTCCAGGCCCGGAGATAGGGTGCCGGGCTGGGAGCCAGGACTCCTGCCTCCTCCTTCCCTTCACTTCCAGTTGTTTCTCCTCCATCCTGCTGCCCTGGGAGCTGCCGACAGCAGGGTGCAGCCCCTTGCTCAGGCCAAGCCTCCATCAATATGATCTAAAGCCACGGGGAAGCCCCACAGATTGACAAAAGGAAATACTTCATATTTCTAACCTCTAGCAAGCACCTGATCTGCATTCCCCCGCCCCTGGGAGCCCCGGCCACTGCTGGTTTGCAGCATCTAGCACTAAATATTTATTTAACTTCCTGCAGTATTAGAACTAATCACCAGTATTTTCCATCAAAGCTTCATTTTCATCTTAACGTAATTCCATCTGTGCACGCACAGCCGCATCCTGCTCGAAGGAAAGGCGGCTCAAGTCCTGTCGGCTGCACCCGTTTTTGGCAGAGACGGGGGTCTGTCTTAGAGCACAGACTGGGAAACCTGTGTCCCAGCCCAGCTCTTCCATGGGTTTCACATGGGATCTTCACTCATGACGCAGGGACCCCGTGAGCGATGCCATTGCTTGGCCCCAGAGCTCTGAGTCGACACCAAGGGTTTGTAAATAACCCGATTCCCAAATTACCCGACAACAACTTCTATCGCTTGAGGTCCCACTGCCCCCAGTGCCCCATCACAGCAGAGACAGCTCCATCCTGCTGGGAGCCACCACGGACTCAGCCTTGACAAAGCCCTGAGTCTGGGTGCAATCCTGATGCCCTGGAAGCATCAGACCTCCTTCACCTCCCACCACCGGCTTCAGACAGCCCAAATCCTGGGCAGCCGACACCTCCCACCACCAGATCACCCCATAAAGCGACTCTTACTGTCTTTGCGGTAGTAGAGTATCTCGAGCTTGCACTCCTCGGAGCCGAGCAGGGCCTGGGTGAGCTGAGCGATGGAGCTCTTGGTGGTGTCAGGGCCGGTGAGGAAGTCGCAGGTGCAGGGTCGCTGCATCACCTCCACGCGGGAGTAGCCGAACATCTCGCAGAAGCCGTCGTTGCAGTAGATGATGGCGCAGTTCTCCATCTGGGCGTTGGCAATGAGGAACTTGCGGTCTGCAGGAAAGAACGAGGCTTAGGGGTGCGGTGGGGACCCACAGGGATGGGGGACAGCCCGGGCAAATGGGGGGTGCTTGGGTTTTTTGATGCCACCCTCTGTGTGGCATTGTTACAGGGTTCCTGGGGACACTGGTAAGAAGACTGGGGGAGGATGTCTGGCGACAGCCCACACCACCCTGGATGCTGCCCTGCTCTTCAGAGAGACAAAATTCCCCCAGTTTCATGTGAATTGGGGACCGGGGGGGGCAGGGGAATCCCAGTAAAAGCAGCTTTTGCTCAGGTGGGCCAACCCACAGAGCCCTGACCTCTCACCGCTCGCACGTGGGGACTCGCTGCTGTCTAATGCACGGGCAATCTGTCCCCGACTGGCACTGCAAAGCAGCATCCATCCCTCCCCAGGAGATTATCAGGGACCTGAGTTATCTCGGAGACTTCCCACCCTTGCTCAGATTTGACTGAAGTCAGGCAAGAGGCGAGAGGAGGAGTGAGTGTGAGAGTTGGCTTCGTGGGAAGCCGGGTGAAACCTGTCACACTAATGATTCTCCTAATGTTTTATAGGATAATTGTGCCTTCAGGCTGAAGCTGAAATCCAGACCTTGCTGGGCTCCGTAGCCCATGTGCTCAAGAAGAAAAGGGCTCAGGTGGAGGAAAAGGGAAACTGAGGCAGGGAATGGTGCTGCCCCAGCCCCTCCTGGTGCTGCAGCCATCCGGGCTGGACTGGGGCCGGACTCACTGTCATGCCGGGGTGTGTAGCAGCGCTGCCCAGCCCACGTCATACAGCCCAGATGGAGCCGATTCCATCCTTATCCTGGGGGAGATCCAGGCTGGAGCTTTGATTTGGTTTGATTTTTGGTTTTTGCAAGATTGGGGGGTGCTGGGCTCGGGAGGACCCTCTCTGGGAAAGGTTTGCTGGGATGTGACTGGGAGCTGTGGATGCTGAATGTGACGGATGCTGTGCCCCCCCTCCCAGTAGCATCTCCCTTAATGTTTGGCACCAGCTCGGGGCTGGAGCCGGAGGCAGGTCAGAGCAGAGGGTCCGTTTGGATGCTGCCTCCCAACCCAGACCCCAATTAATCTCCTGGATTACCCAGGAATGGCATCTGCAGTCTGCACGCTCCAGAGCCCCGCTGCGCTCCAGCCTCGTGGGGAATTTCACCCAAATGCGGGAGAAACCTCCGCATGGCTGCGGCACCCAGCACCGGGATCTGGTGGGGTGCGGGTACCCTTCCCTGGCACATCAGGGCTCTCCCTAATGTCACCTGCAGAGTCCCAGCTCCGGAGGATGCCTCCCAGTAAAACCAGTGCCTCCAGAAATTCCGCACAGAGATGCCCTGCTCCATCCCACCCTGTGACAACCCTTGGTGGCCCTTTGTGGGTGACTCCCACCCCAGCACCTTTCCCTCTCCCACGCAGGGCTGACGCCAGTGCCGGTGCTGCAAACGGCACAAACCGTCACGGCCAAATGTTTCCCAGTTCCCTCTTCCCAATCCTTCTCTATCCAAACCGCTCTGCCAGCTGGAAGGAGGCACAAGGAGGGGACCTTCCCCTAAAGCCCCGCTCCTGGGGCACACTCCCCACCCGTAATGTATGTTTCCCCATCCGGCACCAGCCCCGCGGGACGGATCCAGGCTGGATCCAGGCTGGGCTGGAGCAGGACAGGATTTACAGGGCTGGCAGGGTGCCGGAGCAAGCTGTGCGGAGCATAGGGGATGTGACCAAGGCCAGGATGGGAAGGAGCTGCGGAGCCAGGTCTCCCTGGGGGTGTTTGCACCTCGGATTTGCTTTCTGCCCTGCCCTCACCTGCAGATTTGCCCTTGCCCCGCGGCACTGGGGCTCTGCACCAGCCCCGGCAGGGAAGTGCTGGGCCTCTCCGGCTCCAACGGGGACTCACCGGGTGCAGCTGCACCCATGGGAGCTGCAGCTGGGGGGTAAGGGCACCCATGAGCAAGGGAGGACGCGCTGCCCGTGGCAGCGATGTGGCCGGGGGAGCTGCTTTGGTGTCTCCCCAACACCTGTCACACCATGAAGCTGCCGCGGGGGAGCACAGGCCGAGGTTTTGGCAGAGCCCAGACATGGCTGGCAGAGTGCGGGCAGGGAGCGGGCAGGGA